GTGTGTGAACTATTTTTGCATTCGTATGTGAATTCGTAGGGTATGTCACACGAATTAATAAATATCATGATAAAAAAATTAATTAATGAGTAATTAATTACAGATTAATTACTCATGAGATAGCATAATTTGCATAACTAATAAAATTATCATATTTAACATAATTAAAATGCCAATTAGATTGCGTTCAATAAATTCTCATGATCTTCAAAAATCCAGATGCAAATAACTGCAATAATCAACAATGTCAATAATCAACTCACATCACCATGCGCGGAGTACTGCTCATCATTTTCATCGTCATCTTCTTCACCATTACGGGCAGATATCATGAATTCGTCATCATCTTCATTCAATATTGTAATCACTGTCTTTGTTGTCATTGTCATCGCCATTGTTTTAATTTTAAGGCCATCATAACTCAATGTCATTTGAAAAACTTCTACGCCAATAATGAATGCTACAAAGAGAGCAGTGTAAAAAATTTTAAATGAGCTTGTTAAATAGACTTCTATTTATAAAAACTATGATATATAATATACTACCAATCTTTGATATATTAGTAATGTAGATTAAATGCGATTTTTGAAATGGTACTGCATCTAGAACGCATATTAAATCAATATATGTAAATGGATGCACCGCCTAAATTTTAGAATATATCCTGTGTTAAAACATCATCTTTTGAAATCTCTATCGAGTGTTTGAACTTTTGGGTCATTAGGCTACGGAACTCTTCAACAAACTAAACACACACGCACATAAACGCAAACGTGCATACACAAACACACACTTACATGCAAACAAACACACATACATACAGGCATGCAATGCATATACATGCGGCAAACACGCACGCAGACTAACACACTCAGACGCAAACAAACACATACATGCACGCGTACATAACATACATTACAACTAAACGTACATTAATTTATTTCATTTATCTCATTAGCGGGGTGGTGTGACGTGTTTTTACATAGGCAGGAAATTAGTTCAACCTTTTGTGTCTTACTCTTGACAGATTCGATGAACTTGTCTCAAATTATGTCAAATTAAAATTTGCAATGGTATTATGAGTTATTTTTGAAGAGTAAATGTCTGTAAGAATGAATTTTTAACTTTTGAATCTAAATTGTTATTCGTTATCGCCTGACGAATTAACAAACCATGAACCAAAGATATATTAGATATTCAATATTTTATTTATTGTAAATCAATATCAACGAGTCTCAATTACAATATTAGAGTAATATAAATATTTATTTTTGTTTGTTGTCTGAAATAAAATAGAAAAATATTAAGCCGAATTTTGTGCAAGTAGTTCAATTTATTGCAATAAAAAGGTTTAAATTTATTCAACAATTGAAAATGAAAATACTTCAAAACATCTTTACAAATGATATAATAAAAATTGTTAACAATGGTGAATTTGATTGTTTAGAAAAATATAGGACATAAACACTCAAACGAACACACAAACACACACACTCTACATAATTTGCCTGTCTTTATACATACTAAGCATTTGGAAAGCGAAAATATATAAGTATAAAAATTACTAAAATAGATTTTTTTCTCTGAATTTATATATATATATATATATATATATATATACATATAAATCGATACATATATACATATAAATCGATACATATATACATATAAATCGATACATATATACATATATATATATATACAAATGCATAAACACATATACATACAAATATTAATATATACAAATAGAAAAATATGTTATGACATTTTGCCCTAGTTTGAATGATGAGTCCTTCAGTTCTGTTAAATTTAAATATCATGCCGTATAGAATGTAGAAAAATACATTAGGCTGGTGTGCATAATATCTGGTAATTTTATTTTCTCTTACTGTTCAATAAAACTATTTTTTATGTTTGAATAAGCAAGAATTTTCGAAAGTTTTGTTTTATGCTAAAAAAAATTCTAACAGTTTATGCATTGTTTTTCAACGAAGTTTTAAAAATAACATGAGGTGTTGAGTTACTTAACTGGTGGTTTATTTTATAACATTTGTAAGCAATTTGTAACATGATATCAAAGGATTTGTTAAAAAACATAATAATAATAATAACAATAACAATGTTTTGATAACTACAATGCCTTAATGTAAAAGTAGCTGGTAGGAACAGTTGCCGCATTCAAATCATCGCCTTACGACAGGTTTTTCCGTCAATTGATAGATCATTTCATTTGAACATGAATAAATTATAAGCCAGAAAAACATTGAAAGAAAACATCTAACATGAAAAGACATCATTTAATATTTACAAGTACACTGAATAATGCTTATAAATGCTCTGCAATCATGTTAACAAAGCCTATATTTAATACACGAATCGTTAAAATTGATTAAAAGGAATTTATTTAAAAGTTAAAAAATAAAATTAGTAACTAGAAATGAGACAACAAAAGATATGTACAACAAATGTTTAGTTAAATAAAGAGCAAATCCTGAACTAGCTACAGTGAGCCGTCATCAAGATATTTAAATACTCTGACAAAAGACTGTTCATCAGTTACATAGAGTCTACCGGTGGAGTCTGTACAAATTGCCGAAGGGGAACCTCGGAGTCCGTTGTTCATGGACAGTAAAGTTTTCAGAAATTTTCCGCTCGAGTTCAACATGTAAATCTGGAAATATAATTGTATAACAATGAGCAGATAACGAAAATTACAATTTAAAATGAGATTTCAAGACTTTAAATAATGTTGAAAACGTTTCAAAGTTTCTGCACGTTAAATGGAACATTTTAGTTGCACAATGAAATCAAATCAATCCAACCAGTTGAATACGTAACTCAAAAAACTCATCTATCATTGAAACATTAGACAGCAGCAGATTGAGAGCGACAAACCTTGTTATTGCAGGAATCAGCCACGAACACGTTTCCTCTCCAGTCGCAGCAGATGCACGCAGGCAGGAAGTTTCCATCCCTGGCCTCGTGCGGAAGGAACCTCCAAATGAGGCGACCTGTCTGAGCGTCCATGGCAACAACGAGGTGGCGTTCGTCGTCGCCAACGATCACTTCTTGGTTTGTTGGATTGACAGCTATGCAGTAAGGATGGTCGAACAGTGGCTTGGCATTTTTACTTTTGTTGATCATACTTTTATTATTATATAGAACTTTTGGATTTACGTTTGAAAACTCGTGATTAAAAAATTTTTCGTTTGTTATCTTGAGACTGATATCATCATCCTGACCAATCTTTTCATTGCTTGTTTCAACTAAACATTGATCGCCATTACAAGCTTGGTTGTCAAAATTCTTATTTGATCTTTGAGGTACTTTTGGCGAGGCTAATTCGTTAACATCAGAAGTTGTTATTGGAGGTAATCGTCTTAAGTGGTCAGGCGACTGCAGCTGAAATACAAACACGCATTTGGTGTCGGTGGCGGCAATGAATATGTCCCCATCGACGTTGCACGATAGGCCGGCGATGTTTGTGAAAAGTTGATCGTCGACGATGAACATTAGCTGATCGTCCAAACTAAACACTTTAATGTTTTGTTGTCCGCGGTCGTTGAACGCCACACACGAGTCGCCGCAGTTGGCCACACTCAAGGGCTGAATGAGAGAGTGTTTGCGATGGTGCCGGCCACCCAGCTTCCCGTGGAACTCACCTTCGCTGTCAAACAAAAATGCATTGTGCATGTCTACGGCCACTATGAAACTGTTTCGTGAGGTGACCACCATGTCCGTTATTCTCGACTGAATGACGTGTGACAGTTGAAGAGTTTTTGTTAATGGTAGTTTTGACGATGATGAAGATGACGATGAAGTGATTGTGTCGCATGGTGTTGATCGAGACCGTTTAACTGTTTCGATGTGTTGTCGTTGTTTGCGCTGTTGCAGTTGCTGTTGAAACTGTTGTTGCAAAGTGTAATTGTTTTGTTTATTCAGAGCATAGTCGATATTACAATTATTGTAACTTAGTTTTTGGACGTATTCATTTCCATTGCGTGTTTCGATGTTTTCTTTTTTAAAACAAGCAACAAGATAGTTATCAGTCTCAATTGAAGACGTATCAAATAATTGACTGTTTGGTCGGTTGGATGTGTGGTGTGGTATGTAGTTGTTCTGCGTGAAACTGTAGATGTTGCCGTATTGTTTGCCACTACTGACATTTTTGACGTGGTTGTTGCAGTTGTTGTTGGAATGGTGGCAGTCACTGAGGTGAACATTATTTCGAAATGTTGAAAACCTTTCGTCATCGCTAACAGAACAAACACCAGAATCATTGTGTAGCTTCCTTTCCACTGAAGATGTTCTTGTGGAGGCCAAGATTGGTGAACAGTGGTTGATAACTTCGTGAGAGAGTTTATTTCCGTTCACAAACATTTCACATTTATCGCTTTGTTGGCGCCCAAGGGATGAACTGTCAAATTGATAAGAGCTAGATGAAGGATTGTAAAGAACAGGCTGACAATGGCACTGAGCTAACTTCCTCATCATTGCAGACCTGCATCCCATTCCTGGCGAACGACGATGGTGATGATCGTCGAATCGACCGAACAACCGCGTCCGAACCGCTCGAACATTATTCACGGTGTTGTTCGTGGGGTTGTAATTTAAATAGCTATTACCGTTGATCAAATAATTTTGGTTGTTAGGATGATAGTTTTCAGCACAGCCGTAAAAATTATCTACGCTGTTGCAATTCTCGACATTAAGGTTATAATTATTAGAAAGATTGTGAGACGTCGCTGGCTCCTGTAGGGACAGCTGTTTTGCAAGATCGATTATATAATCGTGAGGATAGTTGGACATGAATCGTTGTGGAGTTGCGTTGAAATTATTTGTCTGATTGCATGCAGATGATGCAAACAGATTGTTCAAATAATCTAAACTTGGTTCGTCTGGGGTGGTTGGTTGTGATCTGAACTGCAAAACTCGTTGTTTGTGATTGAGAGGTAGATATAAGTTATTTACGCTGTTATTCTCGTTGTTGTAGTTGCCATTGCTGTTGTAATTGTTGTTGTTAATGATGTTGTTGTCAATGTCGTAATGTGGAATGTAGTAGGGGCTGTTATATTGAGCAACGCTTGAGTTTACGTTTTCAAATAGATTGAGATTGTTTTCGCAACTACGTGTGCTCGTGCAATGTTTGATGTACGCGTCATTTTCAGGTATGACTCCGAACGTTGTCCTCTTTGTTGCTGATAACGTTTTCGGTCGCAGTGCAGGTTTGCCACATTCGTCTGGTTCTTGAAATGTGACACTTTTGTTTGGGTATGCTTGAGATGGGGAGGAGCAATTTTGATGAATAGTTTCTGAAACGTCGGAAGTGTTATTTCTCGAAATGAAGCTTCCGTGCTCGCTTTTAAAATTAGAATTAGTCGGTGTGTTGAAATCGTTGTTTGATTTGATGGGTGTGTTATTGTTGCTTATCTGGTTACTTGGATTCAGGCGAATGATGTAATTATCACTGTTGATGACTTGATTGGTTGGAGTTTGTTGTAGGGGCTGCTTTTAAATTTTCGTACGTGTGGTTGTCGCGGTTGTATTGGCTGACGTTCTGCTGGCTAACTGCTGTTGATGCTGCGTTTCGAATAATTATTATGGTAAAATAAACATTAATGGTGGCTAGACGGGTCATGGTTTAGGTGGCGAATGCAATAATTGTTGTTGAAACTGTTAATGTTGTTGAAACTGTTAATGTTGTTGAAACTGTTAATGTTGCTCATGAAATGGTTGTCGTTGGGCGGCGTATGATGATAGCATGTTTTGCGTGGAGCTTCACTTAGAAGTTGATGGATGTTTGTTGAGATGTTTTCTTCTTCATTCTTGACTGAGTCGCAAACGTTTTTCTGGGGTAAGACATCGTAACTATTCATATGTTGAGATTCCCATACTTTGTTGTCTTTGTTTCGATTATTTTCTTTCAAACTGGAACAGTTAGAACTGGAAGAATGATCTTGTTTATTTTGTTGTTGCAGTTGTAATAGCATTTGTTCTTGGTGTTGCAGCAGCATCAATTTTTTCTTTTGCTGTTCTCTTTCCATTGCTATTTTTTGTTTTTCTGACTTGGACAACTTTTTTTTGCTCGATTTTCCTCCGGTTGAACTCTTTCCCTTCCCGTTGACTCCATTCGCTGACAATCGTTCGGTACTCGTCGAGAAGGATTTCAGAAACTCTTCTGGAGACAACTGGGTGTACTCGCTTGGCAGTCGACAACTTATTCTGGCATTCCTTTCAGGGGTACACGATCGAGACCTTTCCCCCCCTGTACATCTCAGTAGGCCGGATGCCAAATGCTTACGGCGAGCTGTGCTGCGCGATCTGCTGACCACCGATGACTTTGAGGTCTTTGAGGATTTCAAGATCGATTTTCCAGTCAGGAATTGGAACATTGCTCTTTTTTCGTTATTTGTTTGATAACTATTAAATATCTGTTAATGGATAAAATGAGATTTATTTATTATTTCAAAAAATAATAAAACAAATAACATTTCATCTTACATACATATTTATATTGTGAAATTATACAAACGCATGTTTACAAAATCAAGTGTTATATCGAGAGTTCAAAAGCAAATATTATTACCAGCCTTCAAAAAGAGCATTCGAAAACTTTTAAAAACGCATTGCAATGTTGAGTTATAGTCTCTCGCGAGCACTAAATCAGCTGTAAGAAATGTTTAAATTGAAGCAAACAGACAGGAAGCACTTGAAGACAAACATAAAAAAATGTCAAAATTCTGTTATATTTGCTTTTAAAAATATTTTACAGTTAAAAATATTTTCATTATTTTCGCAAACTAATAAAAAATATCTAAACAAAAAATTCAACCATATGCGTACACTGTTCTGTATTTCAAAAAACAACCAATGTAGTACATATTTTTGATGTTTATCTAATACTTTACGACATTTCATTAAGTTTTTATGCAAATTTGATCTGCAGTACCTATTATTAGGCATCGGCAGGCTATCTATCCTCTTCACTATTCCATGTTCTCTTACGATAAGAACAATTGAATGAGCCGAAGAATATTTATAAATATGGCAAATAAGTTAATGAGAAAAATAAAAAATAATTTTTAATAAATCATCATTTGTGTAAGAGATAGGGAGTTAGTAAATTCCAGCCAAGTAAGCGCGAAAGAGTCGGAGATGGAAAACGGAGAAGAATGTTAAAAAGTTTATGTTTACATTGCCACGGATGTATTAAATTAACAACACTGATAATAAAAATCCTAATCTGAATTGCAAAAAAATGCTAATCTACAAATTGCTAATAAAAATATATGGTGTTTATTGATAGGCATATGCTGATTGATATCAATAAATTACCACTTCTTACCGAATGCTTTGCCATTTTAAAAATTTTTTGTGAAAAAATTTAAAGAATTTCAAAGCATTCACTAGAAAATTATAAAAATTCTGGAAATCAAAATAAAATAAATTTAATGAATCAAACTACCACCAAGATAAATAATAACAATAATCAATTGAATGAAATCTCAAAAACCAGGGTACACCTATGTACAATCACGTGTACCTACGTACATACACGAAAACCAACATGGAGTGCTCTAGCATTGATTTACAACCATAAAAGTAGAATTTCATTGAAAAAAATGCTATCTTACTTAATCTTACGATAAAAAATGTTTCAAGCTTTCAAATTTTTAAAAATAATAGTAAATCAAACGAAAAGCAATAAATAAACATGGTGGTATCAAGTGAAACTGTAATCTCTGTTTAATTTGCTACTGGCTGCTGCTGTTTGTGAGTTTAAACAGAAATACATTTGTATCTAATCAAATCAAGCCACATGTGTGTGTGTGTGCGCGTGTGTGTATATATGTGTATGTGTACTATACGTTTACATGTATGGGTCATACGTGCGTACGTATGTATGGTCTGATTGGATTTTTGATCGTCCGGCTGGCATCTCCATTTGCCAGCAGGCTTCCTTCGTGCATTACATCGCTCGTCTGACAGATCACAGCAGCAGTAGCAGCAGCAGTCTAATGCTAGTGCCTAATCAAATCAAACAAATACTCCTCATCCCAAGAAATGTTCGCAAGCCAGTTGATTTTATATTCATTACGTGCAGTATTTATTGTTTAGTTGAATACTCGATATTTTTTCATCATTTTGTTTGACGTTTTGACAGCTATTAAAAGTAATGCTAGATCACAATAGGCGAAAGTTATAGTTCAATATAAAAATAATAGTAATAATAATAATAATTATTATTATTATTATTATTAATATTATAAAAACACATCGTATCGTTCAGCGTGTCTAGACGTTTGTTGCAGCGTTTTAATTAACTAGCTTTCAATCGGTGACTGTTGAAGTTAATTTGAAAATTATGCTACACCAGCCAAATTTAATATGGAAACTGTTTACTGCCAGTTGTGAAGCTTAATTTTAAATTAATTATCTCAAATTATTTGACCATGAATATAGAAAACAAACGCAGTTATCATGCGTACGATAATCAAATGATTTAATTATGCTTCAAACCACTAAACTTTCCCTAAGTGAATTTCTAAAATATTAGGAAATTTTGGAAAAGTTTTTAAATATTTTAAATGGAACGCGCATTCTTCAAAACAATTTTTAAATAATTTATGAACAAATAAAATCAAATAATGGGTTTAAACGTGTAAACATAAACATTAAACAAACAAACTTGTGTTAGTTTATATCAGGCAATAAAAAATACAGCGCACACATACAACACACACACACAACACACACACGCACACAAACATACACATACACAAACACAAACATACACACACACACACAAACATGTACACATACAACAGTAAACGATTTTTTTTCAAGGGAAGTTGAAGATCATCAAAAGGAATGAAAGAGGTTTTTGTTCGTGCATTAAATTATTTTAAAATTATTATGTTTGATGATCGCAACATTATCACAATGTCACACATCATTAAATAGCATTAAAACTTCACGTCGTTTAACATAAAATTTACATAAGATCACAGCAACTCACTATAACAAATTAGCATATAACATTAGCATCACATTAACATAGCATTAACATCGCATTAACATAACATTAACTTAAACACAACATCAACATAATGCAAAAACGGTACAATGTTAATGAATTACACAAGTGATTAACAAAAGCTGACGGGGACACACAACTTAACATTGGGAGACAATTCAGCCTAATTTAACGTAAAACAACACAACATTTTAACGATGACGTTGAATTCTTTTGATTGTCTGTTTTCAATCAAATGAGCACATAAACATTAAATGTGTATAAATAATATGCGACATTTATTTTATGTCAAACTATTTTTGAAGTTGAAAATTGAGATTATCAATTTGTTAAAAATGATGTGAAATTACGTTGAACGTAAATATGAAAGGTTGTAACTTTATAGTAAGTAAGGAGGTTGTTTAAAACCATCTTTTTTTGTTTCGAATCAAGCTTCCCAAGTAGAATTTTCACCGTATCATAGTAATGAGAACGTACATTTTTCAATTATCAACGTTTCAACTAGGCTATATTTAATTAGCGCTTGAACGTTTAAATTTAGAAGCCACTTCGAGATGTTTTAATGGTTATAAAATTCAGTCAGAAATTTTTCAACCCAATAGATGTTTCCACATTGAACTCTAAAACATTTCGGCAAACGTCTGAAGAGTTTTTCAAAGTATGTGTCACTGGAACTCAAACACACTTTGGAATATGCAACTTGCTTCGTTTATTTGCATATGCAACACGCATATATCCACACACACAAACACACAAAAACAGACAGACAGACAGACACACACAAACAGTTACAAACATAAAAACACATAGTCATGCGCAAATACACACACACATTATTTTACTGTTTTGCAGTACAAATGATGTACAGATACAAATTAACAGACCATTAAATAAGAATAATTCAACGTTGCCAGTGGGTTAATTGAACTGAATTGATCACTATCAAACAATGTTTTTTGCAAAATTATTATTAAATGAATTTAAATTTTGATATATTTTCCACATTAATTTGTAACTGATTATATATTAAGTTATGTTCAACGTTTTCAGGTACGTAATCGTTTAACGTAAATATGAAAGGTTGTAACTGTAAAGTAAGTAAGGAGATTGTTTAGAACCATCTTTTTTTGTTTCGAATCAAGCTTCCCATGTAGAATTTTCATCGTATCACAGTAATAGGAACGTACATTTTTAAATTTTCAACGTTTCAGTTATTAAATAAACGTTTGCACGTACGAACGGGTTAGTAGCATTAGTTCATTATGTTAATAAGAAATAAAATAGTCAGTCAAAATAATTAGCCAGTCAACAGCTCTTTAAATTTCAATAAAAGAGTCTTCAATGTTTGATAATCTGCGTTGCTATCTCGCTGACACGAAGCTAATTCAACAATCGCTTCTGTGTGCTTTTGTGAATGTGTTTGTTTTTGTGCGTGTCTGTTTGCTTGTGTGTATGTATGTCTGTGTGATTGTGTGTAAAGTTAATAATGCATGTATGTATGTAGTTAGCATTCATTTCTACATAATTTATGAGTTGTGTGTTATGATGTCATGTATTCGTTGGCAGTCACAATTCAAATACACACACAAACAATATGAATACATACACACACACACTCACATACACACACACACACATACAAACAAGCAAACAAACGCATTCACAACAACAAATAACTTGCATACTTGTGTAAAGTATGTTGTTGTTGAGTTATTCAAGTTTCTGAGTCAACCACGCAATAATACATTTAAACAGCAACCACAAATACCCAACGTTTAATTTATGAATGATGATGGAAGTTGATGGATGACATGACGAACGTGAAAAATATGAACAGACTATTAATTAAAACATCACATAACACCAACGAACAACATACCGCTAATTAAGCAAATTAAAAATTTAAATTATTGAAGCAGACTGCCTACAAACTAACTAACTAACTAACTAACTAACTAACTAACTCATCTGATTGCCCGCCAGTTCGTCACATACCAGAGGACTACGTTTGATGTTTCGTAATTTCTTAAACAGACATTTCAAAAACAGCATGCGCCCAAATTAATTGCTGCCTTGTGCACCGAGGAATTTTCGTCTAGATAACAAACAGTACGTTCCATCACATACACAAAATAACACAGAGACATTGCAATAATAAGAATAATAATTATAATAATATAATAAATGTAATAATATAATAATTATATAAATACTAATGGGAAGAATGATGTAAAACCTAAAAATAAAATATAAGCAAATGTTACGTAGGTTTCAATGGATGCAAACAAACAAACAGGTTGTTTTTCTAGTTTGTAATAACATTACCTTCAAAACAAACTTATCTGAATGTAAATG